TACAGAGAAGGTCCACATTAAGTTTTTGTTGAAAACCAACAAATGCCTCCCTCTGAAGCCCAGCACATGGGAAGAGAAAAATTTGAAGGAGACCAGCCATCCTGCTCTGTCTGGCACTACAGGGAATCCTCAGCCCTGGGCACAGTAGGGCAGTTGTCACCCTATGTGGTGCTCAGGGTTGGTAGGGCATCAGCTCAGGGATAGTTGGTGGCAAAGCTGGGTTGTGGAAGAAAATCTGTGTGGTGTCTGAGCTGCACCATGCTCCCTGACCTGGTTGCTGTAGTCACAATGGCTGAGAGGGTTTCTGAAATCCCCAGCCTGTTGGCTCAGGAGTGCTAGGGTTGGGCTCTGTGCTGGAGGGACCTGTGTTTGATTTGCTCAATACTTAGGTAATAATGATCCTGCTGAAGTGTGGTCCAGTGGGGTCCTCAGATGACTCTGGTGAGGCAGAGGTGCTGGACCACAGTCTACCCCAGCCATCTCTGGGGACAGAACCCTGCATATGGCTGACAGGATGGGATGACTCTCTGGGGTACTGAGCAAGCCTGGCTTCCTAGTGGGAGAGTACAGCAGATGGTCTCAGCCCCACCCAGCCTTTAACCACCACCACCTTCCAGAACCTCCAGGGCCCAGCACAGCACCTAACCAGAGAGAGAATCCCAGAGTAGACAGATGTCTGATGGTGAGGCCCAGAGTCCTGGACTGCTGGCTCAGCCTCTGACTCCCTAAGTGGCAAGTGCATTGGGTATACACTCCCCAAGGAGGAGAGGCCTTGTACCTCATTACAGTCATCATGGGAGAGGTACAGTTGCTGCTTCATTAACAGATGAGGAAACCCAGGCTCCAGAAGATGAGGCCAGGAACTATTTTTCAGTGTTACAGGGGCAGAGACAAGTGTTGAGTCTCACCATCTATCTCCAGAGGTCTCCTTTACCTCTAAGTTGATTGGCTCAGAGAAGCTCAGCAGCTCTCCTAGAAGACACAGCTAGAGAGGAGCCTGCATCTACCCCAGAGTCCTGCCCTGCACAACACTGAGCCACATCTCCACCCAAAGGAGAGAGTGACGGGGGGGGCACCTTTAAGGAGCACTGCTCTCTTCAGGGATTCCTTGCATCCCCCTGAGCCTTTTATAGGAGAGGACCCTGAGAGGTCCACACCCTGGACTCATCCATACCACTCCTGATAGCTACAGCTGTCTGGGAAGCAGGGCTCTGGGTGGCACAGAAGCACTCACTCTTGTGTGCCTCAGCTTCTACGTCTCTGAAATATAAGGAATTAAACCTACTGGTTCCTTACATGGCTCACAGCAGAGCAAAGTGAGAAGTGGTAAGAAGCAAGATACAGGAAGTAAGATGGGGGTTCAAAAGATGCAAGTGGATGGCTTGCCACTTGGAAGTGGCTTGACAGAGAGCAAACCCTGGCTGGCCACTTGGAAGTGGCTTTACAGCTGTGCACTCAGAGTCTTCATGCTTCAAGGGCTCACAGTATTCTGGCTGAGAAGCAGGGAAATCTCTACTGGGTTTTAGCCCTTTCTGTAGAAACCACAGCCCTTATACTTCCTTTCTATTTTAAATGAACACAATAGAGCAAAACAGGTCAGGGATACTGACAAGCCTTTTAACCCAACCAGTTGATGATCCTCGTCCTTATCTTTGCCCACCCACTCAGGCTGGGCATCAGCCACCACTGATGTTCTATGCATGTGTGGATTTGGTTTGTATTTATATAATCTTCTACCACAGGATTTTAGAATCAAGTCAATTAAATAGCACCATGAGTGGCCCATATTTTGTTAGCCTTTTGTAATTCAAATCTGTCTTCACATAGAGCTTCCATGTCCTACAAGGCCCCTGTAGAGCCCATTTTACCAATGGGCATCTGCTGAAGCCAGTCTTACTGTGAGTAGAGACTCAGTATAATGCCCAGTGAGTGGCCCCTTCTCCTCTCCAGCTGGCTGTGTTTCCAGGACAGGCAGCCTATGTGGACCTTCCTAGTGAACCCAGTGCATCACTCAATGGAGGCTCAATATCCATCAGTAACAGTAGCCACACCTCCTCTCCAAAAGAAACCATCGTGAGACACATGGAATCACGACCCTACAACACCTTTGATCTTCACAGCTCATGAGAACCCGCATAGGCAGGGGAGGAGGCCTACATACACCTGTGAGTCACTGTGGATTCCAGATAATAAACCTGAGCTTTGCCCATATCACATGTCTGTATGAGCCCTTGATCCCCATGGGCCAAGACTCATCAGTCAAGATGTTTTGTATCTCAGCTGTATTGGACACACTGGGGTTTGAAAAGTTTGTGGGGGAAAAACCTGGCTGCTGTAGTGACTCTTACTGGACCAGCCTTATAACTGAGGGCATTGAGGCCCTCCTTTTCTGCCCACCCAGGCTAATCCCCAGGATGCTGGTGCTGGTACACTGGAGGCCTCATATATGTATAAGCACATGCATGCAATGATGCTATATTTCCTTAGGCTAATGATGTGAGTCCAAGTCTCATCCACTAACCACAGAATTCTAGGATACAGCTTCCTCTCCCAGGACATGTCCTGTAGGGTAGGGAGGAGAATCCACTTAGCACTATGGCCACAGTGGGACTGGTTAGCTTTGGTTGCCTCCCAGTTCTCTTGCCAGGAGGACTTCCTGACTAGACACAGGTGGCTAGCAAAGCAACAGGAACAGAAAGACAGCAAGGGATAGCAGGTAGATATGGAAGGCTGTTCCCTGAACACAGCCAAACTGTAGCAGCCCCCTGGGGCTCACGAGGGCAGCATGCAGCTTACCCTCAGTAAGTGCCCCTTCTCTTCTTAATAACTCAACTAAATCAGGACAGGGAGATAGGCTGTGACTGCTTTGTTTGATCTCATGCTCTTTGTAGTAACACAAACAAATGTCTACAGCCTGGTCATAACTTTCACCTCAAATTGAACTGCTGGAAAATGGATCCCAAGATCCCTGTCCCACTAACAATAAGCTAATTCAAATCCTCGTGGAATAAGATGATGCACAAACTGAAAAAAAAATCTGTCTCCTTGCCTCCTAGCCTATCTAGAGTAGACACTGGGCTGCAGAGACCCATGAAAGCCTCCCTTACTGCATTAATAGACAAGCCATGGGAGCAGGGACCAGATGCAGGGCAGGATGAGGGGAAGAAGAGAAAAATCAGATCCAGCATCCACATGTACCAAGCCCACATCTTGGGGGCATGAGGGAAACTGCCAGAAGATGCTCCTGCCCTCCATGGACATGGCAAAGCTCTACTAATGTCCACAGTCTGGCCAGGTTCATTTTTCAGAACCCCCAGGGAACACTGGGGAGGGGAACACTGGGGAGGGTAACTCTTGGACACAAAACCTACAAACTAGGACTAGAAAGGCAAGTGCTGCCTGGTGGCTCCAGGATCATCCAGTTCTCCGTCCCTCTGATTGATGGAGGCTCCCAACTGCAGGAGTGTGGCCGGCTCCTCCAAACTGAAGGAGATAAAAGACCTACCCAAGTGGTACACCGGGCCAGGACCCTGCTCCTAGCTCTCCTTCTCAGGGACTGTCACCAGCTCTGCTGCAACTGCCATCTGAACTGACTTTGTTGCACAACAGTTTTCACCTGTCCATGTCACCAAGAGTTGCTCAGATTACTAAGGAGGGACCTGAATTCTGGACTGCAGCCATCACATTTTATGGCCATTTGTGACAGCAGAGCAGGCTCCACAGAGTCTTGGCATCACCACAACAACCACACCTGTATCTGCTGGGCTTTTTGATCTGCACCTCCAGGATGTCAGAACATAGGACAAGCAAGAGTGTCCTGGAGGGCTTGGAACTTATAGTCAGCATTCAGCCACAGCTTGAAGAGTTTAGCCCAGGTTAGAGGTTGGGTTAGGTTGCACCTTCCCTCTTATAGAAAAGGTGCCAAACACCTGGTCTAAGGCCAGGCTTTGGGAGCTTCCCAGTAGTGGGCAGTGTGGGAGCAGAGGACCTTCAGATCACAGCCAGAAGTCACTCCAGACTCTAAGGTCCCTGTTCCAGACCATGGCCTCAGCCTGGGATGAGAACCAGCATGAGTGTATATGTCTATTGTGCACATGTGGATGTGTGTGCATGTATGTATATAGGAGTATTTTTAAGCTGATGCAGCCCATCTAGACCAAACAGCAGTTCTCCAGAAGCTCGGCTATTTTATCTTTTAAAGATGAACATCTTTGCAAATTTATCCAAGTTCATTTCAAGTTTGAAAAAAAATGGTTCTTCCCCAGCCAGCTGTTTATTGGGCTTTTCCCCAGTTTGGCTGATATGCCAGTGCTCTTGCTCTGAGGCATGTTCAGGACAGGCAGAGGTGACCCTGGAGAGGAATGGAAGGGAGGCTGGCAGGTGGACTTTGGAGTGAGAAGATGGGGCAGGCAGGATGGGCATCCCCACACTCCACTGCAAGTGGACAGGTGCTCTGTCCTGGAGGAGGTTGGATTGGGAGGAGAGTTGGCCACCCCTAGTGAGGCATGTCACATGCTCTGAAGTCTTAAGTTTGGAAGGATGATGGCTCAGAAGTGTGGCTGCTAGTTATCAGAGAGCCCCTTCCTCCTTCTTTAAAGGCATTCTTTAGTATTTCCTTTAAAATACTAAACCATATAGCTGTTTCTGAGCTCTAGCCCTTTTATCTGCTGAAAAGAACATCATCAAACCTTAGAGAGAAGCTCAAAATGTCCTAGTGCTTAGCCAGACTTTTCCCAGGGCAGACAATGAATGTCAATGAGATGGGAGAAAGTTTCTCCCAAGTGAGTGGTAAATACCTCACACTCTGAGGGTACCACACACATATTCACAAGGCTCTTGGAGAGCCCTACACTGGATAGCAAGGAGGTAACTCCAGGTACCTCCAAGGCAGTTCCAGGGTGGCCTTCTTTATGCTAGTTCAGGAACTTGGCTGCTGGGCAGAGGTGAGGATGGATTCCCAGAGAACAAACAGGCACTGGCCCTGGGCTGCAGGACATTACCTGGGTGGGTGCAGTGCAGGACAGATGAACAAGCTCCCCAATCCTGGCTGCAGCACGGGGGTCACTGGAGCTGATCAGCACTGGAGCACTGAATTTCCATGGAATGCCTGTGGCTGGCGGCCTGTGAGGATTTGTGTGTCACACTGAGTGCAGTGAAGGAATGGCGCTTCTTGGCATTCTTCTTGCTGTCCACACGCCGCTGAAAGGCACTGACTGCCCCTGAGCAGCTTAGAGTGAGGCCTGGAGCCGCACTGGCAACCGTGCTGGGATCAGAGGACAAGGGGGCATCACAGCTAGATGCAGCAGTGGCAGCTGGGCACAGCTTGTCCATCTCAATGAGCTGCTTGGCGGAGTCGTTGAGCTAGGTGAGAAGGGGAAGAATGGGGCTTCATTAAATAACTCACAAGCCACACCACACCCACTCTCTGCCTCTCCTAGCCATGTTCCCATTAATAAACTGGCAATGCGTTCACCCCAATCAGATCTTTCTCACTTTGGCTTCCACTAAGTGTAGTAAAGGAGAAACAAGATGGGCAGGGGTGTCATCTGTGGGTTTTACTGAAAAGGTTTCAGGAGCTGCTCAAAGACCCAGGCAGCCATGACAGGTGATAGGGGCTCACAAGACAGAGGGAAAGTTTTCCAGGACTGGTCACCTCCTTGGCTCCTACCTTTTTTAGTAGCTTGCCATTTCCAGGGTGCAATGCACTGCAGAGCGCAAGGGACCAGGGCTAGAGAGGGAAGGCAGGCCAGTCTCAGCCAGACCAGTCCAGCCTTGGTCTCACCACAACAGGTTCCTGCCTGCCCTTCTGGCTAGTGGAGAACTTGAGGCCTGTGACCAGGTGCACTTCTAAGGGTGGTAACCACAGGCAGCCAGGAGCCTGCTCCAGTAAGCATGATCTACAGAAGATCTTTCTACTGATAGTCCTGACTCAGACCTGAACTGGGTCTTGTGAAGCATCAACAACCATTCAGCAAGGACTTAGGCACAACTCCTTCTTACATCTCCCACCTGTTCTATCAAACAGCAAGTGTTTTGCACCACAGAGTTTTGCCTTTGACAAAATTCCAGAAAGGTGGGTTGAAGGTTCCAGCCTGTGAGCAGCCTGAAATAATAGGGAATGAAGATTCTCACTCTGGGCTGTGCCACTGCCTAAGTGGCACGTAGTGGGTAAGCTTGGCATCCAAGGAGTCAGGCAGCCCTGATGGGCACCAGCTAAAGAAGAGGCCCATGCTTTTGTGGGGGCATCAGCTTGAGATCTCTGAGTGAGTTTCCTCAATTTTTCCACCTGAAGGATGCTTTTCATTCAAGATGTTCTTCTTAGGCTTTATTTGGCTCAATCTATATCCATACCTGGCGGGGGTGGGGGTGAGGGTGAGGGTGGGGGTGGTGGCAGATTTGCAGTGATTTAATGGAATAAAGGAGTAAGAACTATTTATTTTATGTACGAGCAGCCAGGAAGTAAATGTGATGCTAGAATCAGTTTGGGATTATTGTCACCAGACGGGTTAAACAAATGCCAACATGCTAGGTAAATGCCTCTCATTTTTTCAGAAGTAGCAGAACAGGCTGAGTAAATACCAGCTGGCCCTTTAAGTGGGCCAAGCTTGAGGAGCTCAGAGTGAAACATGAAGGAGCAACACTAGCCTCTCTGGACTTTCCCCTTACTAAACAGAAATGGTGGGTGTATTCTAGGTGCTAGTGGGGCTGACATGCTATCTGTCAGGGCAACTATTTGAGGTTTGGAGCCCATGAGGTCCCTGGACACCGCAACTTTAAGCATTTCTGTAGGGGTGCTGGAGAGGTACCTGATCAAGAACATGGGGTGTTTCATTCACATGGCTTTGCAGAAATGCAGGTGGGTCCACTGGGGGCAGCTGGAAGCCTTCATGGGCCAAGAAGGACCTGGAAGGATGCCTAGGATTTCAGAATGGAAGAGGAAGTGGTGATGGGCCAAGGAAATATATAAGGGGAAAGATGGAGCAGTAAGCAGAGGCCCTGTGGACCTAGCTGTGGACCTGCAGGTCACCTGGGCAGGAGCCATGCCCCATCCTCAATGCAGATGAGCAGATGCAGATGTGGCTCATCATGTACATGACTCCTTCCTCTCTGCTAAGCCCTTGAATGTGCTTGAGGCTGGGTGGGTATCATGTGCCTGCTGTATGGGTCCCACTCCCACTAGGAGCAGAGTCTGGCATCAGGCCTGATCCAGGAAATCCCTCCATCCTGCTATAGCATGAAGAAAAGCATGTCTCCTGGTAGGCACTGGTAGAGGTTGGCGTTGGAAGGACTTTGGTGAGTTGAAACCTCCACAAAGCCCTGCTGAATCTCCACATGGAGGAAAGGAAATAGCCTCATTGCAGGCTTTAATGTCTCCAGGCAGGTCCAGAGACCCACCTGCAGCCTGGCTGGACATTTAGATGGGTTTAGAAGGAGGGTGTGAAAACTCACTCCAAAGATTAGTTCCTTTGAAATGTTTCCTCCAAGCAGGCTCAGCTGTTTTGCTCTGAGTTTTTTTTTCTTTTTTGGGCTTTATTTGGTTCCTTCCTCATAAGTGCTACTCAAAGAACAAATCAGTGCCTATTCCTTCCACAGCCTTTATGGGGTGCCCTGAACACCTTAAGTCTGGAATCCTGGACCCTAGAGTTCCACCCCCTGTCCAGCAGGGCCTGGAGGAAGACGGTGAAGCAACAAGCACCAGGCCTTTCATTCACCAGCATCAGACATGTCTAATACCACCTCCATGTGTCTCCCCTTGACCATCACTATGGAGAAAAAATGTCAGCAATATAGCAGGAGCTAGGCTGACATAATTCCCTTCCTCCTCAGAGGAGCAGGACTATAGGGTCTCAACAACTCCTTGGCTCTGTTAAATTGGTATTAGGAATTCTATTTTCAAAATCAGGAAATCCAGACCCTAGCAGGTAGGGGTACACAATTCAGGATATGTAGGGCAAGTTTGGACAATGGCACGCACTTCCAGTTTCTCTATTGTCATCGGTGGTCAAAGCAACCAACAGTATCACTTGGCAGTGCCATGTATCACCTCACCACTTTATGATGACAGCTGTAGGGGGTAACATGCCTCTTCCATCTTGCCATAACATCCAGGACTATGGCAGGTTCCAGAAGTGATAGTAAATAAACTTCCACTAAAGACAGGTGGTTTCTACTGCCAGCAGAAAAATAACAGTTTCTGCCTCCGAGCAATAAGCTCTCAACATTCCCTGACAGCACTGGTGTCCCTGACATCCCAGAAATTGACTCTTGATCTGCTAGGAAGGACTCCTTTTGATTGAGAAGCTGTTTGGCTGTGTCCTGTTGACACATGTGTCATGTTGCTTCTGTGACAAGAGGTCTCCTGTTGTAGCCAAATTGTTTCTCAGGGCTTCTTCCCTCCTCCTGTTATGTCCTTGTTCAGACAGTCAGAATGGACTAATTTAGAGGTTCTCCACATATGTACATAATTCTTTCTACACAGGGGTCTTAATGATAACATGCCACCTGTCAATGAAGGCTGGACTGCTTCAGAAGGGGAAGGGGTCTGATTATGGAGCACATGTATTGGGTGGCTACTGCATGGGCACTGCAGATACATCAGTGGGAAAAAAAACAAACAGACAAAACCAGATAGTCAGATAAGAAGCAAGCAGACATTTCATCATGTAGACTGTGAAAAATGAGGAAGGCAATGCCAAAGTGGGGAGGGTTTCAAGTTAAATGGAGTCTGGTGGGGAACCAGTCTCACCAGCATCTGGGGAAGAGGAATGGGGAAGAGGGAATGAGATGTACAAAGGCCCTCTGGATAGCAGTGGGACTGGAGTGTCTGAGGAAGGATACCAGGTAAGTAGGAACAGATAGACACATGGCATAAGTTGGAACAGATAGACACATGGCATAAGTAGGAACAGATAGACACATGGCATAAGTAAGAACAGATAGACACATGGCATAAGTAGGGTCAGGGTGATGAGGTTGGATGGGGCCAAGGTTTTGGGGCCTCTGAGAAGTCTTAGCTTTCTCTGAGTGAGATGGGGACATATCAGGGTTCACTGTAGTAGAGGGTCATGACAAGATCCCCAATAACTATGCTGAGAAAAGGCTGTAGGAGGTGAGACACTCCGAAACTACAAAATAATGTCATTGGGAAACTCACTACTAAGTGAGAAAAGCAAGATAGAGCACTAACTGATACTGATACAGCACAGTTCCACATTTGTTCCAAATATATGCAGATGTGTACATAGAAAAGGATAGAAGAAATAGAATAATATGCTAATGACATTTCATTTCATTCTTTACCTACATGTATATTCATACTGGTAAGATTATAAGGGATTTTTTAATTTTCTTTTTTTACACCTTTCAGAATTTCTCTATATTAAACAATAGCCAGATCTTATTTTTATAAAACAGAAAAAGTCATTAAAAGGAAAACAAAAGAGCCAATTAGGCTGGGTATCTACCAGTCTATGGTGAGACTTCTGAAGTGGTGGCAGTCACACTTTCTTTTATTTTGTACCGAATGTGATACACCATAAAAGACTTTGGTTTTTTCAGGTTGGTGAGAATGCAGGAATATTTTATTTAAAAGTATGACATTTCAGGCCAGATCTAGCAATTCTGTCCTTTTCCTCAGCTGGATGGGTTTTGAGCTCTTGGTTATAGCCATCAGCTGAGTTGGAACAGAGACCTCGGTTGAGTTCACAGAGCCACCAGAACTGTCAGGTTGCCTACCATGAGACTCCCAGATGCCAGGAGGTGAGAAGGAATTAAACCACAACAAAAATCAACCAGGAGAGAGTGGAAGCCCAGAGAGGGTAGCACAGGCCCTCACCCAGGGCCAGCCCAAGTGACACTTGTTTGTAAATAAGATTCTTTGTGGCAGTTTAGAGCTGTGTTTGCCACACAAGGGCAGAATTAATAAATGGTGCTAGCCCTGTGCTCTTGTTCCCTCCCCACCAGTTACCTGATTGAAGGGTGAAGACCTGGCACCCACTGGCTACAGAATTTTAGCTGATATAACAGACACGAAGGGAGAAGGTACCCATCACCCAGCTCTAGCAGTTTTCTGCCTTACTTGCACCTCTGTTACCTGGCCCCCCTGCACTGTTTCCCTGAAACATTTTAAAGCAGAAACTCAAGAGAGAATCTCAACAGATGATGGATCCATATCACCCAGCTTTGGTTCAGGCAAGGGGGTTGGCAAAGAGCCTAGGCAATCTCTCAGGAAGGGGAGGGGAAGGGTTATTGACCCAGGCCTGGCAGCTTCTTCCCCAGCCACTGCAATGGGCCAGGGATGTGGACCCGTCACCTGTGTGTGTGCGTGCGTGTGTGTGTGTGTGTGTGTGTGTGTGTCTATA